GAGCGAGGCGACCTCAGGACGCCGGGGGCCGGGGGAGAAGGCGTGCGCTCGCTGCACAACACAGCTGGCCGGTGCGGTCAGCCCCTGGACGGACGCCAGACCCAGGCAGCTGCCCCGGGGCCGGAGCCTTGGCGCCCGCGGGTGGCCAGGGACCTGCGTAAGGGGTGCTCCCAGGCCGCCCCCGGCAGGGCTGAGGCTGCGCTGCGCCCCCGAGAGCTGCTGGGTGCTCCCGGGCCCCCCTGACCGCCCCGTACCCGATGGGCTTCCCGGCCCCGTGGAACTCCTTCAGCACGCGCTCTACGTCTCCGTGGACCTCGCAGTCCTTCCCGTCCACGGCGAAGGTGCTCCTGGGGGAGGCGGTGCTCAGGCGTTGCCGGCCACCTGGGCGCCGGACATGGGCTCCCCGCGAGGGGCAGTCGGCCCGGGGACCCCTGCCTCTGGGCCCCTCTCCCAGCTGGCGGGAGAGGCAGGGCTGGGGCTGGGGCTGAGACTCCCTGGGCCTGTGCCAGGGGCTCACCGCTGACCCACCCCCAGCCTGACCCGGGGTCACCCAAGAAACACCCCGCACAGCGAAAGCCCAGCCGGCACCCAGACCGGAGGGGGCATCGCGTGGCCTGAGACTCGGCCCCCTGGGCACAGTGAGGTGGGGGCTGAGCGTGGCAGAGGACAGCGCGCCATGGGACACCGGCCAGCAGGGTGGGTGGGAGCAGGGGCAGGCGGACAGGCTGGCCGGTGAGTGGCTGTCCCGCCAGGACCTCACCCTCCAGGCTCAGGAGCCGCGGCTGCCCCGCAGGGAGGCCCCGGCCACCAGGAGCTGGCCCCTCGCAGAGGTGGGGGACCCCAGAGGCTCTCACGGTCAGCTCCGGCCTCCCGAGGCCGCAAGGCCACAGAGCCCTGCCGACCGGCCACTCCCAAACGCGCCGGGCTGGGCGCGGGGGCTGAACACGCACAGGTTTTTGGCAGCTCCGAAGCCCCCGGGGAAGATGGCCGCGTCGTGGTTGGCGGCGCGGAGCTCAGCCAGGTCGGTGATCTTGCCGCGGGCGATGCGCGCAGACTCGGTCAGGACGTTCCTGGGAGGACGGGCGGACGGACGGACGCTCAGGGGCAGGGGCGGGGCCCCACACCCAGGCCTGGGGGCGGCGGTCACCGGGTGGGGACTGGGACGGGGTGGCCACGGGGTTCGCAGAGGGGCCGCACCGGGTCTCCTTGTCGGCCGGCTGCCCCCGGACGTGGTCGACCACGTGCATCTGAGGCATGTTGGGGGCGAAGATCTGGACGTCGGCCCCGGCCCGGCTCAGGTGGACCAGCACTCTGTGGGCAGGCGGGCGGGCGGCAGCGTGAGCCGGAGGCCGCTGCC